GGAGCACCTCTTGAGGTGGAGAGGTCGGGTGTTGACGTGAATTCTTTGTCTCTGCAGTTCTTAAAGAACAAGATGGGAAAGACAGAGAAGGCTGCTATGCCCTACGGCCAGCCCGTTCACAGTTTACATCTGTGTGAACAACCAAAGATTAACAGGCAGAAGAGTAAATGTAACGTGCCCCTATCAAAGATCACCTCGGCAAAAAAGATAGAGAACTTCTGGCAAGATTCCGTATCGCCAGAAATAGTTCAGAAGCAGGAAAAAAAGCCACTTAAAAACACAGAGAACTTCAGCAATGCCAAGTCCAAGAAACCTATCACCCTAACTGAAGCAAGCCAAAAAGAAAATTACGCTGGGGCAAAATTTAGTGACCCGCCATCTCCTAGTGTCCTTCCAAAGCCTCCCAGCCACTGGGTGGGTGGCACAGCTGAACCGTCTGACCAAAACAGGGAATTGATGGCAGTCCATTTGAAAACTCTCCTAAAAGTTCAAGTGTAGTTTCCAAGACCTCTCGAGTAATTGGCAAAGAAAACTCCATCCAGGAAACTCAAAACATGCCTTGTTGCAACAAAAAATTGCAAAAGACTGTCAAGTCTTTCAACCACATTAAAAAAAATTCTTGTATTATATTTTTTATGGTTGTGTAAATAGTGTACATCATGTATTATGTGTATATTCTTGTTCATACTTTGAGAGGTACATTTTAGTTTTGTTATGAAAGGATGTATTTTGCACTGCCTGAATGGTAGATGTCTTGTATATAGAATATGGACAGTTTTAATTGTGTGCTTGACACATGAAGACTTGACTTAATTTGCACAAGGTAATGAAAATTTTGGAAGGAGAGTTCAGCTTTCAGATTTTAAGGTTCCAGATCAAATGTGAATGTTCTATTCATGCACTACTGACAATAGTTTTACATTCTGTGTCCCAGTCAAATACCAACATGGAATTTTCATACAAATGTGAAGTTTTGCTCTCTGCTCTGGAAATAGTATCTGGAATTCCTGTTCACCTGTTTGTTTTTAAAATTAACTGGAATTTGAGGAAAATTCCAACCCATCAATTTGAGCACTGCTGATTTTTTTAAAGAAAAAAAAAAAAAAAAAAAAAAAAAAGAGCAGAGCTTTCTGCCAAAAATCCAATTGGTCACTAAAAAATTAAATAAAACAATTTGGCCTCCCCTTAAGCATGTCTCTGTTTTTCTTTCGTGTGTGTGAGTGTCTGTTAATTTGTTAATTCAAATTTGTGAACTTAGATTACTTGTTTGCCTTCTAGTGCATCGGTAGGGATACTTAACCTTTGTCAGCCTATCCAAATAATTATGAGATTCAATAGCTAGTTAAGAATTCCTTCTGATTTTTTTTTAAAAAAAATTTCCTTTACAGTACATGACTTTAGGTTTCTTGTCCTCTTGTTTCCTGACCACAAAGATTTCAAGAAAGTTGGGCACTTATCCGTTCAAATTCATACTGCAGTTCGCCATGACTGTTTTCTTAGTAAGTGGTTATTGAAGTAGTCAATAGTGAAAAGTAGCAGTGACAGGTATGGATGGGGCAAGTTAAACTTCATACCTTTCAGCAGATTTGTCTCCTGTTGATAGCTAAGCTGGAAATTACATTCCTCTGATCTAAAGTTCTTAAGGAATTGGCTGTAGATTAGTCTGACAGGAGATAATGTACATTTGCAGTGATTTTACTAACCTAGTACTTAAAATTAATAAAGTGGGGGCTATGTAAATATTCTATATCTAAACATTAATATACTTATAATCTATAATGTAGCTATATTATAAATATATTAAAATGTAATTAATTTTATTCTATAATAAAATTGAATTATATTTAATATATTATTAATATAATTTAGTTTCTGGATCCACTGAAAAATTCTGTGGGCAGTAGTGTGCCAGAAGTGTACGTAGGAAGAAAACAGCAGCAGTGGGGTCCCAGCTGAGGCGGTTCCTTTGTGTCAACGGTGACGTCCGAGATCCAGAGCGAGCACCATTGGCTACGGTTGTGCCACGTGTATCCTGGGCTTCTGACACGTGGCACCACGTTCCCCAGCACGTGTGAATTGGCAGGACTCCTTACCTCAGCCCCGCTGTAAAATCAGTCAAAAACTGAGGGAGAATTTGCTTTGTTTATAGAAATCAATTACTTAGTTGTGAAGTTTTCCATTGTAATGCTATTAGGCTGTTTAAGAATACATCTTCTAAACCTGGGAGTTTGTACAAAATTTTTGGTCTGCCCCAAAGGCTTCCAAGTTCACTACCTTGCAAAATAGACCTCTGTTACTTCATTAATGATGGTACATGCTAGACATAAAACAGGTGTCCAAAGCCCAGTTTGCTGCCTAATCTAAATACTTCATAATTTAATGTGTCCTAGTTTGTCGTCTAAAGATGAACAAAATTACAAAATGTTTAATTTTTTTAAAAAACAGTATTGGGACAAAGAAAAATTCTAGTAGAATGTCACTAAGGCCAACTCAAGTAGACCGTAAGTCCCAGTTACTATATTGGGTATGTGCTGTATTGATCTGCTGTTGTCCTATTTTTTTCTTTTTTCTTCTGCCTGAATGTCATCAAGGGCAAAGGAAAGCGTCTTCAGCAATTCCCATAGCTTTAGGCAATAGTTAATTTTGTCTGATGACCTTGTGATCATCTTAAATCTTGATAACTAGCTTGACAAGAGCTAGTTCCCATCAGCCACATAGGTTGGCATGATTTAAAAGGAAGTGTCCCTTTTTTCCCTGATGATTATCTCTTTCACCATCAGCCTCTGTTCTTCCCCACTTCTCAGAGCTGGCAGCAGATGACGTGGTTTGAACACTAACTCTGGCCGTACATACAGTTTACGAGGGTACCACTTTGTTTCTACCCTGGTTTGCTGACGCATCCCCAAGAATGACAAAGTGCATTAAATGTAAGCACTGATAGTTGTCGGCTCCTCAGCCAGTTCTTTTAAAGCTGTTGGATGAAACTTCTGAAGTCTTGAAACTGTAAAACTTTCCATAGCTCATTGGAAATAACAGTTTTCAGGGTAAGATAAAAATGTTTCATCTGACCTTGCCAAACAGCACAACAACAGAAAAGCTTGTTTAGTTTTTGCTCGTTTAGTTTTTAGTTTTAGATCATATCACTGGTCCTGATATGATCTAGCAAATGTCTTGAAGCTTCATGTTTCTTGTCTTAAGATATTTGGGTTGAGTCCCTTCCTGGCCAGTGGACTGGGTTTTAAAACCAGGCCTACATGTGCAATAAACACTTCAACAATATCACCTGAAAAATAGGACACCATTATCTCTTGGGACCATATTCTCTACTTAATTTGTCACTTTCTTGCATTGTTTTCATTTATCTTTCTACAGCGTTTTCTTGCAGTAATTTTCACTTTGAAGGTTTCCTTCACTTTGAGTTCCCTCATCCCAGTTCCCTGAAGGCAAGGTGTTTTGTTATATGAATATGCCACCAAGTTTAGAGGCAGTTAACAAAATAAAAACATCAGAGCCGTGTTTGGAGGACTTCTTTGCAATATCATATAAAGCTTTTTGAAGTCAACGGCCTTTAAAGAAGAAAAGGAACAAGCTTAGCAGATGTGTTACCATCAGCTCGTTTGTCTGCTGTGCAGGAATTAAAGAAATTGCTGATTAAATCTCCTGAGTTCAGTAAAGAGTAAGAAAACCATGCTGCATCTTGGTTAGGTAATGAAAATCTCTTCTGCTTAAAATCTTTAGTACAATGTTGTGCAGAACTGTACGGGAATCAGCTCTACAGCCAGCTTACTTTTAAACAGTTAAATGCTGTGTGGTGATGGTCCTGAAAAATGAGCTTTCATGGAGCACAGAAGTATCTTGCTGGGTTTTCATGCACGGCTGTTTTAGCCCATTAGACAGCTTCATTAATAATGGCTGGCTTGGTGCTCTGCTAAAGCTACAGAGCTTCTGTCTCCTAATGCAACAGGAGTCAGAAATCCTCTCTTACTCTGTTACCCCATTATCTCTTCAGAGATTGCTGCTGATTTCTTAAGTACTTACTTGTGTACGAGGCTGTAGTTTTTTTCCATAAATTGACTTTCATTTCAGCTGAGTAATATTTTATCCAGGTAGTGTCATTTTAAGCAATTTTTGTAATTATTTTCAGAGGGTATTTTTTAAGCTTTTGCATTGTAAAGTATTTTGTAGCTGCCGCACTTCAGGGTTTTTTTCTGCTATACCAAGTTTTGAGATTAAAGCTGAAACCTATAAATTATATGAAGCCTGAAGATTGTAGATTGGTTTTCACTGTAATTCTGGAAATATGTTTACCTTTGTTTCTGCATAGAAAGTCTTGATGCTTCCATCATGCAGTTAAACACATTACTTATTTTCTTCTACAACCCCTTGTACTCTGCTTCACAAGGAATTATTTTCTTTTCATAATATGTGCCTGCCTGCCTGAACTATTTAAGGGGAATTATTTTCTGTTGTCATTTCTAAGAAGGTTTTATGCTATGAATAGGCTGGTCCTTACCCTAAAGAGGCTGGGAGGTAAGCAAGGAAGAGAGAGAGGTTGTAAAATGTTAATATTTACTGCAAAAAAAATGATGTTACTTTGTTGAACAGGAACCACAGTGTTAAATACTTTGGATAGCAGGAAATGCTTAGTTGCTCACCCAATAGAAAAGATTAATGAAGAGAACTTCCATCAGGTAAGGAGAAATACATTATCCAATAGAATGACCTAACTACTAATGTTGAGCAACAGAATGTTATCAGCAATGTAGAGGCTGTGAACTTCTTGTTTTGCCTTGAGAGGGCAGAAGAATGTTATCAGAGCTGTGACAGGAAGGTCAAGCATTCAGATGAATTTGGAAAAAAGTCCTCAGGAATTAATTTGTACGGCTTCCCTGTGTTGAGGTCAGTATTCCTCTCTAACTTTTTTTCCCCTGTGAGGCGGTAAAATCCCATTTATTCAGCTCCCAGAAAACTGGCCTTTAGATTTTACGAAGCCAAGTCTGTTGCAGGCGGCACATTGGCACTCTTGTTTAATGTTAGTCTAGTGACATTGCTGGAAGTTGGCACATGTGGAGGCTTGACCCTCTTCTAGTTTAAAACCATTGCACCTTGTCCTGTTGCTACAAGCCCTTGTAAAAAGCCCCTTCCCAGCTTTCTTGTAGGCCCCCTTTAGATACTGGAAAACCACAATAAGGTCTCCCTGGAGCCTTCTCTTCTCCAGGCTGAACAACCTCAATTCTCTCAGCCTGTCTATCATAGGAGAGATGTCCCTGCCCTCTGATTGTCTTCATGGCCCTCCTCTGGACCCACTCCAACACGTCCATGTCCTTCTTGTGTTGGCGGCTCCAGAGCTGGATGGAGTATTCCAGGTGAGGTCTGATAAGAGTGGAGCAGAGCAGAAGAATCACCTCCCTTGACCTGCTGGCCACTCTTCTTTTGATGCAGCTCAGAATATGGTTGGCTTTCTGGGTTGCACTCACAGATTGTTGGCTCATGTTGAGCTTCTCATCAGCCAGCACCCCCAAGTCCTTCTCCTCAGGACTGCTCTCAATCCACCCTCTGCCCAGCCTGTATTTGTACTGTATATGCTGTATGTATTTCAAGAAGTAGTGTAATTATCATGGCAATTTTTCTGTTCTTAAGGTCATGAAACATAAAGAGATGCTATTTCTATGCAAGATGTCATTTGCTCCTTAATGAAGCAGTGTGCTTTCATCAGGTAGGTTTATGAAACTTAATTTGCCTTACTGGCCTTGTAAGTGGTGATGGTAAGAGCCATCAAAATACAATTTACTTTGGTTTTCATTCCCTGAAACAAGACCCAGAGCTACATTCAATAAAGGACTTAGCATATCAAGTCAGGCCTTTCCCTTATTTTCTCTCATCACCTGAATCTTGTGCTCTTTACTGCCTGGTGACGTAGCTGCACAAGAAAGAATAAGGATTCTGTACCCTTCCTTAATATATAGCTTGAGATATGTAATTGCTTGTGTGTATATAGTATGAAGCTTCTGAACATTGCATTCCTAGCATCAAAATATTCAGAAATTGCATGTTGCCGTATTTAGAGTGTTGACAGATCATTGTAGGAATTAATGAACTAGTAAATTGATAGACCATGTCCAAATTTTAGACATTCTTTGTATGCAAGCACTGAAGAAAGTGCAAATACATTTTTGTGTCCTGTAC